AACGGTTAACTGTTTAAGAGGCTGAGGCCCATCTGGCCGGTGTAGCTCGGCCCACAGTAATATGTTTACTTTTAAGTGCAGTCTGATATTGTCTGCTTCTGTAATGCTATGTACAGATATCTTGCACATAAATAATCAATCAGTAAGAGAAAGCTCAACTCCCTGAAACAATCTGTAAATTCTGAAAAGAGAAAGAAACTGAATACTAACAAAAACATCACTTAATCTGATACCTTTTGAGGTGCGTGTGGGAAGGGATGGGGGAAGGAAAACCAAAAAATTCCACCTGCATTATCCTTGTTTAGACTCCCTTACAGTAATATTAATCGCGATTAATTGCACAATTAAAAAGATTAACCACAATTAACTGCACAGTTATACAATAATAGAATACCATTTGTTTAAATATTTTTGGATGTTCTCCTACATTTTCAAATATATTGATTTCAACTACAAAGTGTACACTGCTCACTTTATATTATTTTTTACTACAAATATTTGCACAGTAAAAATGATAAAGACAGTATTTTTCAGTTCTCATACAAGTACTGTAGTGCAACCTCTTTATCGTGAAAGTGCAATTTAAAAATGTAGATTTTTTTTTGTCACATAACTGCACTCAAAAACAAAACAATGCAAAAAGCTTTAGTGCCTACAAGTCCACTTAGTCAATTGGCATTCTATTATTTAACAATACGATTAAAACTGCAACTAATCACGACTTTTTTGAGTTAATCACGTGAGTTAACTGCAATTAATTGACAGCCCTAATTAACAGTATTTTATTGTAGAAATTAAACTGAAATTGCTAGCTTCCACTCATCTGAAGGCTTGAGTTAGATCTAGCCTAGCGGCTCTCAACCTTTCCAGACTATTGTAGGAGTTTGATTTGTCTTGCGTACCCCCAAGTTTCAACTCACTTAAAAACTACTTGCTTACAAAAATCAGACATAAAAATACAAACAGCATCACAGCATAATATTACTGAAAAATTGCTTACTTTCTCACTTTTACCATATAATTATAAAATAAATCAATTGGAATATAAATACTGTACTTACATTTCAGTGGATAGTATATACACCAGCATAAGCAAGTCATTTTCTGTATGAAATTTTAGTCTGTACTGACTTTATTATTGCTTTTAACATAGCCTGTTGTAAAGCTAGGCAAATATCTAGATGAGTCGATGTACCGCCTGAAAGACCTCTGAGTACCAGCAAGGGTACACGTACCCCTAGTTAAGAACCACTGATCTAGACTACAGTTCCAGGGATAAAACACTGAGGAAATTTAATTTGTAGGCCACGAGAGACTTTCCACTGACCAGCCTTGCTAAATTCCACAGGCTTTAAGTGAGTGAAAAGCTTTCCTGAAGTAGAAAGATAAAGGTCATGTGTAAAGAAGGGGGAGGGCCCACAAAGAAGCACACTGCTGATTAAATTTGGGGGTGAGCCTTAATTTGAATGAGTCACATCCTCACATTCCATCTAAACTACATTAAAATAAAGGAATATCAGGCTGTTAAGAAAGAGATCCTATGGTAATAGTACCAACCATCCCCAGATTAAAAAAAAAAACAGATCTTAAGATGTTTAAAGAAAACTTTGTTTGCTTGCCAGAGAGAATGCTGTCAATCACTTATCAACAGTTGTGGGTGTGAAATCTCTACTACTTTATCATTTTACCTTTATGGTCCCTACCTCTCTATTGTTTATCTGTATGTCTGTCTGGTTCTTTGACTGTTTCTGTCTGTTACATAAACAATTTTGGTAGGTGTAAATCAACTAGGGTGGTGGGGTATGATTGGGTAAAGAATTGTTTCACCATATGTTAGTATTGGTCAAAGAATTATTTTGTAATACTTTAGTAAAATGACTCGTGATGGTACAGGTAAGCAGGACTCAAGTTTCACGATATAAACTGGGGTCCAAAATGAAATTCTCTGGAACCAACTCTAGGACACAGCCCCAAGATCAGAGCTGCCAGGCCTCAACACCCTGCCAATCACACCATGCAGAAACTGGAGTCCCCAGATGATCTGATCCTGACAGGCCATTCGGAAAAGTTCATCTGCCTTATTGGGAGTGGTGAGCATTGTATGCTTAGCATGTGTATTCTGTTTTGGCATCCAATGAAGTGAGCTGTAACTCACGAAAGCTTATGCTCAAATAAATTTGTTAGTCTCTAAGTTGCCACAAGTACTCCTTTTCTTTTTGTTAATAAATAGAGGTTAAGTGTATTACTGTGTAAGGCTTTCACTAGTAAAGTAAAAAGCTGTGTAAAGCTTTCACTAGTAAAGTAAAATATAGGACAGAGGCCAAATGGTTTGTCTGTCTCTTCTCCCACCTACGCTGAAGGCAACGAGAATGCTGCAGCTGAGAAGACTGGTTCCCAGGCTAACAGGGAAAGCCTGCGTATAAAAGACCACATCCAACCTGCAGTATCCAGTGGGGTGAGAAAAACTGCTTAGTCCAGATATTCCTTAGTCTAATAAGGTTAAGAATTTAGCCTGCGTGCTTTTTTTTTTTTTTTTTTTTTGGTAACAACTATGTCTTTTTGCCTATCACTTAAAACCTATATTTGTAATCAATAAACTTATTTTAATGTTTATCCTTACCAGTGAGTTTGACTGAAGTGCTTGGTAAATTTGCTCAGGTTACAAAGGCTGGTGTATATCCACCTTCTATTGATGAAGTGGTGAACCAATTAATAAGCTTGCATTGCTCAAGACGGGGTCTTGAGTAGTACAAGACGGTATATTCCTGAGGTACAAGGCTGGGAGCTGGGGGGATTTGGATAGTGCCTTGCTCTATTTGATTCGTGAGTGGCTCTGGGAGCATTCATGTAATCTAGCTGTGTATGGGGCTCTACATGTGCTTATTCTGAGTGATAACAGCACCTGGAGGGGTTTGCTTCTTGTCACCAGTAAGGCATTGTGAGAGAGAACACAGAGTAGTAAATTAAGGGGGCACAGCAGTCCCACAGTCCCAGGTTGGGAGATCCCATCACAGGGAGTTACTTATTTTCACCTTAGAAAGTATCAATTTAAAATTTTAAAAAGCAGGCCTTCTTTATATAAGTCTATATAGCATAGAAAAGCAAAAGGCCACACACAATTCTTTTTTAAAATCACTTGCAAGTGACCTTTAACTATAGCATTCACTATTGCAATAATGTAACAAATGAGGCTTTAAAAATGTACCATCAGAAGCAATTAAAGTTCCATGAAGCCATATAGCCTCTTTGTATATATTCTGTATTATATTTCATATAGTATAGCTTGTCCCTATAGGGACCTGATTCTGCAAAGCAGCAGCATAATTTTACCCTTGGCTTTCAATTAAAGCAAACATATATATGCACGTTAAGTGTTTGCAAGATTAGGGACAAGGTATTCATATGGCCACCATAGTATCTGAGCACCTACAGAGCTTAAAGTGTTCAGTGTGTTTAAATTACAATTCCTGCAAGAAACACAATGAAATATGTCTTTTCTGAATTCAGATTCAGCCATAACAGTTAAACAGTATTTAAAATTTTATTGCCTTGTTTTAAACAATCCCCAGACATACTGAACACCTAAGAATATTCTTCTGAAAAATAAAGGGTGATTTCAAGGGTATCAGCAGGAGATGGATGACTTGGCAGAATACATGAAAGTCAGGAGCCCTCCGGGGCACAAGGATAACTGGACTGAGTGCACACAATCTAAAAGAAAAAAACAAAACAAAAACACTGTGCATGTGTAGTACATGCCATGCTTAATTATTTCTTAACTCTTTCCCATCCATCTTCCCTCTACACTTTTGTAAGTACATCTTCCTCTAAAGATATACGAATTAAGTTTTCGATTAAAACCTCCAGGCTATGCTAGCCCAGAAAAACATGAGTGTATTTGATCAATGGAAAACTAACCAGAAATAAATTCACTTTTAAGCCAAAACCAAATATAAAAAAATTTAACTCCAAAGGTAATTTGAGAAAGTTACAGAACAAAAATGGAGGAAAAGGGGCTCAAAGTGACATCTCATGAAGTAGTATGCAAGTTTAATAAGATACACGGGGACTAGTATAGCAATAGACAAATACTGACAGTTTTAAGATTTCTCTGCAAGTGGCTGGTTATTTTATTTGGTCTAATAAAGATAAAGTAGACAGGGATGCCTATCCCAGGGATCAGGAGCCCTTGACAATTATTCAGAAACAAGTCACAATATAAATGTAAATCCAGCAGCAAATTCCACAACATACCAGCTCTAACTAAGCAACTGACAGGAAAGAACAAAAATCCCGAACACCCTGGCCAAACATCAGCCCTCCAGCAGCCCCCGCCTGCCACAGACCCTCCTACAGAGATGGGCGAGACAGCACGCCCGGAAGGGCGACGCTCTTCATTGCAGGGAGGGTTTGTGTTTCCAAACTCAGCCGAGCAGCAGGCCGCGGAAGGCGGCTGAGAAGCGCCTGGGAAGATGCGGGCTCTGGGCTGGAACGCAGCGCCACTGAAACCCGCGCCCTCCCCTCCATTCCGGCGAGAAAGGGAGCGAGCCGCACGGTCCAGGCACCTCGGGCTTTATTCTGCCAAGCGCAGCTTGTTGCCAAATGATCAGCCCCCGCCGGCGCCCCGGCTCCTCTCCGCTCCGGGAACTAACGGGGCAGTGCCAGAGCGAAGCTGCGTTTCCCGACAACGCCACGACCACCCTGGGGACTCGCCCCGCAAACGCCCTGCAGCCGCTGCTCGCACCCGATCTCCCCACCACCACCGCGCCCAGCCAAAAACCAACCCCAGCAGCAGCAGCACATAGGGGAGGGAGCGGGGTTTGGGCCCAAGAGGCGGATCCCCGCAGGCGGCCTCTCGCCCCCATCCCTGAGGTCTCCGGGTGCGTTTCCGTGCCGGCCCCCAGGCTGCGCAGCTCCCCCGCAGGGACGTGGACCCGCACCCCCAGGCACCGCAGTTCATGCCGCCGCCACCCCCCGCCCGGGCGGGGCTAGATCCTCACCGGCATCTCCCGCAGGCCCGGCTGCACCGGGGAGTGAGCCATGGCGGCGGCGGCGGCGGCAGCGATGCGCGCCGCGCGCGGGGGTCGGCTCGTCTCAGGCGGCTCCAGAGACGGGAATCCGCCCCTGGCCCCCTCCCCGCGCGGCTGGCGGCGGTTCCGGAGCGTCGGCGCGCCGGGGCTCCCTGGCGCTACTTCCCCCGCCCCTCGCAGCTCAGGTCCAGTCACGAACGCAGCGTCGAGCCCGACCTCCTCCGAGCGCACAGAGCGGCGGTTACTGGTCTCGCGCTGGGCGGGGGGGGGGAGCACTGCTAGCGTAACGCAAACCACCTCGGGCGCGGGGCAACTGCCACTCTGTGCGCGCGCGCTCGCCCCGCCCCCTCCTGGTATCTGCCGGCGGTGGCACGCGGCACTTCCCGGGCCTCGCGCCCCAATGCTGGCGACTGGTCTGTCCCGTTGACGCGCCCGGGATTAAGCTCACTGGGATCGGGCCCGCTCAGACCCCTCCCCCTCCAGCTGAGTGGGGCGAATCGCCGCGGGAGCGGTTGCGCCCTGGGGGTGTCTCTGGGTAGGCGTGCCGGGGACGTGCCCCGGGGGAGCAGTGTCCGAGGGGCGGAGAGCTTTGCAGGGGGGCAGCCCCCTGTGTCTGTCTGCGGGTAACTGTGTGCCTAGCAGGCATCGGAGAGGAAGGGCGTAGTGTTCCTTTGCCTTGTCAAGAGCATTGTCCTAGGGCTGGAGCCTAGTTTGCGTAAAAAGACACACACATCCAGGGGAAAGAGGGCTCCAGGTTAATTCTCCTTCATTCTAACCCCCTCCGCCAGAGGAGCTGAAGACTTACCACTATATAATGAAATGCCTAGCTGCCACACGGTTATCCTGCCTTTAACCCCATAAATATCTATTGTCATCAGCTCCAGTGTGCTTAAATGACATCAAATTTGTTACCTTCTGTGTTAAAACCACATGCTACTGCTGCTTGACCTACTGGAAACAGCTGCCTCTTTTATCTGATATACCCTGGTGATGTGCCTTTGATTTAGCTCACTGGGCTTGGGCTCTCTTTGTAAACTGCTGACTAGCAGGTGAGATAACTGCTAATTAAACATTTGAGTAGATCTTATTCTAGCCTACTAGACAGCAGTGGTGCATATGCATGTTCCTCTGTTACCAGCATTCAATGTTTTTCCTTAACACCAGTCATTTGTTATAATCTCACCCATTCAGTGGAGATCATGCACAGAGAGGACCTGATTCTCCTCTCACACCAGCATAAGGCTGGGTCTAAACTTAAAAGTTAGGTTGACATAGCTCTTGGTCAGGAGTGTGAAAAAGCACACCTCAGGTGTAGGCATACCTACACTGATGGAAGAATGTTTCCATAGATGTAGCTACCATTGCTCAGGGAGATGGTGTTTCTATGCCAACGGAAAACCCTTCAGTGGGTGTAGGCTGCATCTATACTATGGTGTTATGTCAGCATAGCTATGACAACACAGTTATGCTGGTATATTCTGTAGTATGGACATACCACAAATCATGAGTAAACTATCCTAATGCATAGGAAAGATAGGAAGTGTGGTGAGAGACCACTATGATTTAACCAGGAGATCTTCAACATCCTGAAACTCAAAAAAGAGTCATTGAGAAAGAGGAAACTAGGTCAAATTAGAAATGATTAATATAAAAAACAACACAAATATGTAGGGACAAAATTAGAAAGGTCAAGACACAAAATAAGATTAAATTAGCTAGGGACATAAAGGGTAACAAGAAAATATTTTACAAATACATTAGAAGCTTGAGGAAAACCAAGGACAGGGTAGGTCTATTACTCAATGAGGAGTAATACCAGGCTGGGAGGGGTTGCAAGTGCTTTGGAGGACAGGATTAGAATTCAAAATTATCTTGACAAACTGGAGAAATGGTCTGAAATAAATAGAATGAAATTCACTAAGAACAAATGCAAAGTACTGCACTTAGGAAGGAATAATCAGCTGCACAGATACAAAATGATAAATGACTGCCTTGGAAGGAGTACTTGGAAGGAGAAAGGGGGTTATAGTGGATCACAAACTAAATATGAGTCAACAGTGTAATGCTGTTGCAACAAAAAAAGAAAAGCAAACATCCTTCTGGGTTGTATTAGCAGGAGTCTTGTAAGCAAGACACAAGAAGTAATTCTTCCACTCTACTCAACACTGATAAGGCCTCAACTGGAGTAATGTGTCCAATTCTGGACACCACGCTTCAGGAAAGATATGGACAAACTGGAGAAAGTTCAGAGGAGAGCAACAAAAACAATTAAAGGTCTAGAAAACGACTTACTAGGAAAGATTAAAAATATTGGGTTTGTTTAAACCAGAGAAGAGAAAACTGAGGAGGGGGATGTCATAGTCTTCAGGTACATCAAAGGTTGTTATAAAGAGGAGGGTGATAAAATGTTCTCCTTAACACTGAGGACAAGAGAAGAAGTAATGAGAGTAAGAAGAGAGATTGAGGTTAGACATTAGGAAAAACTTCCTAACTGTAAGGATAGTTAAGCACTGGAATAAATTACTTAGGGAGGTTTGTGGAATCTCTGTCATTGAAGGTTTTTGAGAACAAGTTAGACAAACACCTGTCAGGGATGGTCTAGATAAAACTTAGTCATGCCTCAGTGCAGGGGACTGGATTAGATGACCTATTGAGGTCCCTTGCAGTCCAACAGCATTTCTATGATGTCAGTGGAATTGTACTGGTATAAACAAAAAGAATCAGACTCAAAATCTATAAAACTAAAATAAAGAAACTGTCATGACTTTATTGTTCAAGATGGCTATAAGAAACCCTTGAAATTTCTGTTATATCCTTTTCCTGCTTCCCCTTACTCTGGTACTTTTCCATCAAAGTTTGGGGTGAATTGTAAAGCAGGATCAGACCCTTTGTATATTATAGCAATGGTCCAATAGTTATGGTTGAGAAGGCACTTACAACAACTTACAACTTTTCAAAAGGACAATTTTAGGTGAAATTTCTTGCATTTGTTCTCTGGCTAAAGGTGAATTTCTCTGTAAGTTAGAAGGAAATCTGGTTAGCTGTTTTTGAGTTCTTGGAACATGCGGGCAAATGGTGTGTTTCAGACATTAAGAAAATGATTCAGGTTCTTTTTTGGTCTTGGTTAAATGGAAAACAGCTGAATAGTTTTCTATAAGTGCATAATATCAGAAAAAAAACCTCACTTGCACTCATGAGTTTTAAGGCTGATTATATGATCTAGTAGTTAGTTATACGTGAAATTGGAAACTGCCATCAGTTCATAGTTTATCTTCGAGGTTAGTTATTGTTGTATAGTTGTGTCTCAGCCTGAAAGAAGGATGGTTGAGACTAAGGAGTCAGACCTACATAAACGTGCAAACTTTCATAACAAAACTCAAATGAAGAACTGTGATTAGTGGACTTCCTATTATCTATTGAAGTTAATTTATATTCCAAGACAAAAAATAACTTTGTTAAAGTGAAGTTAAGGCTATCCGTGCCTGCCAGTAACTAAAAGAATATTATAATTCTTCAAAAATAAACATAAACATTAGAAAGTAATTAAATTATAAGTTAGAAGCATAAGGTTGACTTTTTCCTTAACCAACTGCATGGAAAGGCAAAGTGAAGGTACCCTAAACAACTTTAATTCCATCCCATATCTCCTTTACACCATTCATCTTCAACATTGACCACAATTTGAGACCCATGCCCCGGCTATGCTGTACTATATTCACCATTCTAATTTATGCATCATCACCCACTATATATGTGCCACCAACATGATCACAACCGTCCTCCAGTAGGACATTTCTGGTTCAGGATGGCTGTAAGGATGAATATCTGTGTATTCAGAAATCAGAGATAGGATGGCAGAAAGGTCTGAAGCACTGCACTGATGTGGGGGCTGTCATTCAGGACTCCTAGGTGCACAGGAATGGATTCTAATGATATGGACTGTGTTCTCTTTATATACTAATTTTGTAATTCTATTTTTAAAGCACGTTTGTTTAGCAAGACTCATTCTTTATAAACCCTTGCTATGGTACTTACAATTTCTGTTCCTGTGACCATCTATCATATTGTACTGAGGGAAAGCTGCACAGATCCCAACTAGTTACAAGACCAATCCTGCCTAGTCTGAGAATAGACCATTTTTCCTTCCTGTAAAATGGAATTTTTCCAATCAAGTCAGTCTCTAATGCCTTTCCTTTGGGATTATTCTAATGCTATCCATAGAATTACATCTATTTTCTTCTGTCCTCTTTCTGAAATGTAGTTCTCCTTGGAAACAGACTCTCTGTGTTATAGTTTGCACTTTCAGTTAAAAGTTGTTCTCTTCAATTAAGCTTATGTAGACTTAATTTCCTTCATCTTTTTCACTCTAGCCAAATGTTGTTTCTCATCTCTCAGCTTATAACCATACTTTATCAACTATTCATGGCTAAGCAAGCATCCACAAACCTCAGGACTACCTCAGTTGGCTTCTTCAATTACAATGATTGCTTGTGCATTTCCAAATTATGACATAAAAAACAAGCCATCTAGTTAGAGACTGACCTTGTCTATTGGAGAAACACAATTTACCGGTAAAAAAGTTTGTTATCCTTTACATCTCATTAATATTGGCTGAAAAAAAATGACTAGATTTTGTGTGTCCCTCCTAAAGAAAATGTACAGTATGTTGGTATGTTTATATACAATATGCATTCTATATATATCTAATTTCCTTCAATGGTATATTTTCAAGTAAAATTACAGTTTCATTGACATCCTTACAAACTAAAGAAAGTTCACTAATAACAGCACTGAGAATTATAATGGATGAGCACTGGGATCTAACAGGAAATGGAACAAAAAGCCATTATATGGTATGCCTATTATTAATAATGTGCACAATCTAAGTGCCTGGAAGTATTTTAGAATTCCAGGTAGACAATTAAAATTGGATGGGGACCTAGAACTCATTAAGAAACATGAGACTGATTATGCTGCTTAGCATCTTTTCCCCAAATAGTTTGATTTTATTAAATCTTGTTTCTTATTTAAAACAAAAAAAACACACAAAAAGAATGATATATATTTTTCATATTTCATTTTTATAATGAGGACACCAATTCTTTTCTCAAATTGATAAATATGTCCATCACAGGATAGCACAATTCACAGACTATGTATCCGTTAAGGTTGACCCAGTGATACTGATGAGCTGCAGTAACTTAAAACTGTGTCCCATGACAATACGTTTTACCACAGATCTAAAATATTTGCCTGCTGGCTGTATTATTGCCCATGTGAAGTAAGTTGAATAGAGGCTTGCCCTACAATGACTGGATA